TCATTTGCGGCAACATGTTAATATGGTTCTAATTTGCACTCAGAGTTGAATGGCAAAAGGTGTATACATGTGTGTAATGTGTGTGTGTGTGTGTGTGTGTGTGTGTGTGTGTGTGTTTCAAGAAGTTCAAGTGGCGTGGTATATTAAGTGGTGGGCTGGTAACCGAATGGTCAGCAGTTCAAATCTACGAGTCAGCACATGGGAGAAAGAGGAGGCTGTTTCTGTAAAGATAAATCTTGGAAACCCTAAGGGGTAATTCTTTCCCTCTCCTCTATGGTCTCTGTCAATCAAAATTCCTCAGTGGCTGTGGGTTTGGGAGCTGGGAGAGTGTTGTGTATGTTTCAATCACTGAAGAGAGTGTTGTTTCCATCCGGCTGTTATAAACTCTGTTTTTAGCTCTGATGTCATAGCCCATTGTGAGTTGCTCTGCTTCAAAGATCATGTCTCTCTGTTGGTCCAAATCCACCAGCAGCTCTTTGGACTTAATACGGGCAATCTCCCTCTGTGCAGTTTCCAGCCTCAGAAACTCGGCGGGGTAGGTTTGCTAGGAGTCAGCTCCAACGTGTTGGCAGTCAGGGGTGTTTGGTTATTTTAATTTTTGTAGGAATTTTTTCAAGTTCTCCTTCATTATAGAAAAATTGTATGTTGACAGGAAAATTGCTCAGAAAATCCAGAATTTCCACTCACCCGTCCCTCTATTGCACTCCTGTGGTACGTTTGCCAGAGGTGGTGAATCAATATTAATGCCCTAGTGTTCATGTTTTGGGGTGTACAGTTCTATGGGTTCGGCAAATGATGTCACGTGGAACGACCATCTTTGCTTTGCCCTCAATGGCGGTGGCTGTTAAGTGCCACTGAGTCAACTATGACTCAATGATCCTACAGACACCAGATCTGAACTGTGCCCTGTGCTGCAACAGCCCCACAATCTCTGCGATGTTGAGCCAATATGTCAGTGTGTCAGTCTGTCTTACAGAGGGTCTTCTACTGATAGGCTTGAGTTTAAGTGGGCCCAACAAAGTTACTGAGCACCTGCTATGTGCCGTACACTCAGCGAGAAATTGAAATAGGTCCATGGAGTCGAAACTTTTCCCCAAGAGCCTCGTGTCTTCTTGAATCACTGCATGTGACAGGGGTGCAGATGACATGTCAGTAAGCCTGTCCCTGAGCTCCTGCCTGCCTTCAAACCCGCTATTGTCTCCTTCACGGCTGCGGAAGCTGCCTTTCTTGGTATTCATCACCTCTGCCATTTTATATTCTTTTCTGTATTCACCTATTTCCGGCTCATCTTGGCATTAGTCTGCGTATTCCTTGGGGATTACATTTTAAATTCTGAGAAAATAGAGATAGATCTCAAAATCACAGCTTTGCGTTTTATTTCCTTCTGCATCCCTACCATTTCCACCCTGTAGCTGTGTTTATCTTTTGCAAAAACACCTGGATATCGACTTTCAGATAATTATAAAGCATCATCATCACCATTAAGTGTACACCGTGGGCTGTATCTGAAGGATGTTGTCCATCTGATTTCTTACAGCTCTGGTTGTTTGCCCATTTAAAATGCCTACATGTTTTAAACAGGCTCAGTACTTCCCCGCCTTTAACTCCAAATGTTCAGAGCTACCCAAACAAATCTAAAATGCCACTTTTCATAGATGAAGTGAAGCCTTTATTAGTAGCCCTCCTTTGGAAACCAGTGATTTGTGCTCAAGACAGCCATGCCTGTATTATTTTACCAGGAAAGGCTTGAGATTGGCTGAGAGCTCTGCCTCCGAGGAAATAGCAAAGGCTCCGATACAGACTCATTTCTAGTTGTCAAGTTAACTCTCTTATTGGATTTCCTTTTATTTCCTGCTGGGGCCCTGTGAGTGTGGATAGAGGCAGAGGATCTACTGTATATCTTTTCAAATTTATGATGAAGAAGGTCACATATACATTTTTAAACACTTTCCTTTTTGATAATAAATGAAGAGTAAAATGTGGAAATGTCATCAGCCGCAAACTACCTTGCTTTTCTTCCACTGCCGTTCTCCCTGCCCCTGCCTGTTGCCTGTGATGGTGAGAAAGGCTCCCAGTGAACCCAGTGCTTCGTTTCTTGTTATTTCACTAGTTGCACACTACGTCTGGGGTCAAAGTATTATAATAAACAAAAAGCATCCTTACTCCTGAAGGGCCACCTTTCCACAGGCCAATTTGCATAAATGGAAATACGTAAAAGTTGAAAACATTTTCTCAGCTGCATTTGAAGACGTGCCATGTGTGAAACAAGAAGGTGAAAGCTCCTTTCTGCTGGGGGAATGCAAATGCAGAGGATGTGGAATCTCTCTGCCCCTTCCCCACTCTCTTGTGAGGATCACGATGTAGTCGGACTTCCCCCTTCCTTCTGGTAGGGAGCTCATTACCTGAGGCTCCCGTAGAAATGCAGGCGTGGTGGTAGAAGCACTGTCAGGAGCATCTGTACCTTTGAGTTTCTCCCTGCGAATCCCACCTAACACGCTTCTTCTGGATCCTGGGAACTAACTGCCTCCTTGATATGTGACTCTGGACATGTGGTGGAAATCTCCTCCTGTGTCACCAGAGTTCTCCTACACCCTGCTTACTTTCGTCAGTGACCCTGTTGGAAACACATTTTCTTCACGTTGTCCTCATAGGCGTGTTACTCTGTCACTCTTCTGTGCAGTCTGTCCTGTCTCATGCAGTTACTGTTTCTGACTGACATCTAGTCAGTTGCCAGCTCTTCACAATTTCCTGTGACAGAGTGGAGCTGCCCAATGGGGTTTTCTAGGCTGCAGTCTTTATAGGGGCAGATGACCAGATGTCTCTCTCATAGAGCTGCTGAATAGGTCTGAACCACCAGCCTTTTGGTTAGCTGCTGAGTGCTTAACCATTGTGCCACTGGACCTTTTGGTGATTACTATTAACTAAAATACGTCTAGATGAACTCCTCTCGAGTAGTTTTGATAAGGCTAACTCCAAAGAGTGAGGAAAAGTGCAACTAGAGTCCTCTCCAGAGGCAGGGATGATAAAGGTTGCTCTCACATACTATGGGCATGTTGCTAGGAGAGGCTATGCCTTAGGAAGGAACACCATGCTTGGAAGTTGGAGGATCAGTGAAAGAGACGAGAAAGGCCATCAACAAGATAGATTGGCACAGTGACTGTAGCAGTGGGTGTCAGAGATTATTAGGACGGCACAGGACAGAACAGGGTTCAGATCTGTTGTTCACTGGGTAGCAATGAGTCATAGCGACTTAATGGCAGCTAACAGCAACAGCAAGTCCAAGTTCATCCTTTCCTTGAATATTTCCTCTGGCCATGGAGATCATATCCTCTTGAAACTGTCTATTCCATGATCAAGTGAACTTTGGGAAATTACTTTTTCAATGACAATGAATTTGACCTCTCTACAATACCTATAATACCTATCTTTTCCTTGTTCAGAAAGCAGTAAAACTGAGACTGAATTTGAAGTCAAGTCCTGTGAGACATGGAGCAAGAGACTTGGAGGAATTTACCTTCTCAATATTTAATGCATAAGCCATAGCCTTTTGTATAATAGGAGTATACTAATTATATTTAGATGAATAAATGTTGGGAAAACTCAGAGGGACCGTGTTGGCTTTTTAGAAATGTTTGATTAGCTGTCATATGTAAAAGGAGTTAGCCACCTTAGCACCCCTAAGTCTGTAATCAATCTGTTAAAACTTAAGTAGATATCAAAACCATACAAAGAATTTAACCATTCACTTCCCCGATGTCACACGTTTAGCACTTACTGAGATCCAGAGGGACGTGGGAGTGCAAAGGTGGGACCAGTGGAGGGACCATGCAGACACTGGGCTGGTGCTGGACAGGATGTCAGTGATTCAAAAGCAAGATTACTAGCTGCTGTGTTCTGAGTGTTCACTTTGTAGCGGCACTATGTTTCCTTGTGTTTTATGTACTATGTCCCTTTCTACACACATCCTTATCAAGTTACAGCTGTTAATGTGCCTTGGTGTACTGAGGAGCTCGTAACTTAAAGAGGTTAAGGAGCATGCCTGAGATCATGAAGCCAGGGGGTGTCAGAGGTATGATATGAAGCCAAGTCTTCCTGATGCCAAAGCTGATGGGTTTAGAATCATCTAGTCATCTGGAGCTCTGGTGGCCTAGTGGCAAGGAGCTGCAACTACAATCCCAGAATCCACCAGATGCTCTGTCAGGGAAGGAGAGACAGTCTCCTCCTGTACCAGTCAGATCTGATTTGATGGTACACTCACACAAAAATAATAAATAAAAATTTTAAAAAAAAGAATCATCTAGTCCCTAGAAGTCACTGTCAGATTTACCTGAAGCACTTAAGTCAAGAATTCCTCTCACCCAGTTGAGCTGCCTCAGTTCTCCAGGTGATTCTGATTTATGCCAAAGTTTGAGAGCCACTCTTTTCAAATGGACAACTATAGCCATCCGTCCAGTGCTCAGGTTCTCTCATACATATGGGAAGAACTATGCAACAAACTCACTATTTTTTTTCCCCTCATTTTGAATTCCAAAGCTAACTCATTTCCATTCTCTCCCACGGCCAACCACGGGCTCCTCCTGCAATCTGTCATTGTTTGGTGGGTTCGTTTCACCAGATTACTTGCTGGGAAAGGCCACACTCCATTTTTAATCTCACTCAGAGCCATGAGAACAAAAAGATCAGCCTAGACTCTCCCTCTCTTTCAAAGGGTAGTAAGGGAAAAACCATTCAAGCATTCCTAATTTCCTGCTTTAAACTCAAGTACCAGAAATGAGGCAGGATGAGTCTTATGTTTCCGAGTTAATGGAAACCGTTCATGGTTTCAGGACAAGGTCCACCCATGACACAGGAGAAACAACTTTGACTTAGTTGCTGGAGGACAAGTGAGGTTTGGAGGCTAAGAATGAGGGATGGGCAAGAAAAAGAACTTGATTCCTCCAGGGCTTTCATACGACTAGCATCATTTGACTGTGGTTTCTCCCCTTGCACATGTCCCAAAGGAAGCTGGCCAAGAAGCAGAAGGAGACACAGAGCGGAGCCCAGAGAGAGATGGGACCTGTGGCTTCGGCGGACAAACCCACCACCAAGCTCAGCGCCAACCGCAACGAGGAAGGCTTCTCGTCTTGCTCTCAGGACGTGAACGGATTCAGTAAGTTGAGTCGACTAAGGGGAGGTGGACATCTGTGGTCAAGCTACCTTGAGAGTGCGACCCTGGTCCCTCTTCGGTGGACCCCTTGCATTAGTCAGGGGCAAATCAGGGTATGGATTGAGGATGCTTCCATGGGATGGTCCAGGATCAAAGTTCTTTGCTGGAGCAAAGACATGGGGGAAGACCGCGTTGAGTGCTCACTCACAGAAACAGGTTAAAATAATCAGCAGTAGCAGAAGAGTGGAGGACTACAGCCTTAAAGAGAAAATACACCACACTGAGCAAATTCTCTTAAAGCTCTCAAACCTCACACAATCGAGATTAGGGAGTCATGAATTATGACTATTTTTATTTTGAGAACTTAGGCAACTGAGGCTCAGAGAAGTGATTTCCCCCAAAGCACCAGGGTTGATTAAACCTAGAAGCCATGCTCCTCAAACCATAGCCAACTATTTAGTTGGGTCCCTGAGTCCTCACGTAACCAGGTTCCAAGGCTCATTTAAATGAAGCTTTCAGGATCAGTCCTTGTCCACAGCACCCCAAGGCTGGTCACATCTAAGGCTACCTGGGTGACCATTCTCAGGAGTCTCAAACTTGGTCCTTTCGTTGTTCGGGGGGCTTGTTCTTTCTCTGGTTAATGAAAGGTCAGAGTCTCCAGTCTCGCTTCAGATGTACGTAAATAAAGGAAATCTCTGTATAGACAGATTTCCTCCACATACTGTGCACATTATGACTGGAAGGCAATATGTTGCATAAAACTTATTTTAGAGACGATCAGCTTAGCATGATGTGAATCCGCGAGAGAAGAAAGTGGGAAGCAGGAAAGGTGCACCTCGGAGACACGGTAGGCTTTGTTCCCGACCACCGTAAAGTAAATGTCACAATACAGCAAGTCACACGGAGATTTTCATTTCCCAGTGCATATGAAGGCTGTGTTTACGAGACTGTAGTCTATTAAGTGTGCTAACATTGTGGAAATAACTTTAAAATACTGTGACGATGGCCAAAATGTGACAGAGAGACACAAAGTGAGCACACGGTAGTGACCAGGTGGCCCTCACCGAGAGACTCGCTCAACTTGGATTGTCAGAGACTGTCGATTTGTGAAAACAATGCAGTGTCCATAAGGTGCAGTAATCAAGTAAAGCACAATGAAACAAGGCCTGCGCCGTCCGTGTTGACCACTTCCTGTGCTGTAGGTACTGCCTCTCGTTACAGCCCAATGAAGTCTGTGGCTTCCACGTCACAGGGAAGGTACGTCTGTAGAGCATTTCTACTGTGAACATGTGAGGTTGCAGTGAGGAGGTTGGGACCAACTCAGCAGCAACTAAAACCAGTAACAAAACCACAGTCTAAGGCTCAGTGGGTTTCATTGACCCTTCCTAGAGCCATACTTCTAGTTCTTGAGGGAGTGCGGAGTCCAGAATAACTCGAGCCCCTGATTCCTAACCGGTTACATCATTGAGCCCAAGTGGAGAGAGAATTATACAATACATATATCAAGGCCTCAGCCCTCATCTCTCAAAAATGTAGTGCTGTCAACTTGGACTCATAGCTAATGCTCTGGTGGGTTTTCCAGGACTGTAAACTGCACAGAAAGAGAGTGGTCATCTTTCTCCTGAGGAGCTGCTGGTGGATTTGAACTGCCAGAGATCTGAACTACCAGAGGGACAATGCCTTTGGGATAGAAGCACAGCTCCCTGGGGGTTATGCCACCAGAGCTCCTAAACCCACTGAATCCACATCCACAGTGGTCTGAGGGGTGGGGAAGGGCTCAGAGATGGAGATTTTTGTCAGAGTTTCTCCGGGCTTCTACCCTGGTTACAAATGCCAAACTTTGACAGGGGCAAGAGGTATTTTCAAATATTGATGTGTTGCCTTAGAGAAGAGAGATTAGTATTAAACTGCCATGAAAGTGGAAAGAATAGCCTGGATAATAACTAGGGATGACAGAAGGAGAATTGATGCCTTTGAGCTGTGGTGTTAGAGAAGAGTATTGGATATACCATGGACTGCTAAGAAAACGAACAGGTTCATCCTGGAGAGGGTGAAGCCAGGCTGCTCCTTGGAGGCAAGGATTCTTTGTCTGATATACTTTGGACATGTTGCAAGGCGGGATCAGTCCTTGAAGAAGGACATCATGCTTGGGAGGGTGGGGGGACAGTGCAGGAGAGGAAGGTCCTCGATGAGATGGATTGATTCAGTGACTGGGGCAATGGGGATGGGTGTGCCAGAGACAATGAGATTGGCACAGGATAGAGCAGGGTTTAGAGCTGTTGTACACAGGGTCGCTATGAGTCACAGGTGACATAACAGCACATAACAAAACAGCGCTCTCTCTACCTGTTAATATTTTCCAACATTCATTCTCCCTCCCTCCCTCCCTTCCTTCCCTTCTTTCTTTCTTTCCATGTTCATTTGTGTGTTTGTGTGTGTGTGTATGTGTGTGTGTGTTATTTTTTCCTAAACTCTTAAAATGTCATTTACAGGTAACACACCACTCCACCTCAGTACTCTTCGGCTCACACTCCCAAAGACCTAGGACAGCTCTTCAATAAAAGCACAAGAAATGATCTCACCTAAGAAATGTAACCTTATTTTAGTGATACCTAAGATGTCATTTCATAATCAAATTTCCCTAGTGGCCCCAAATACTCTTTATTGTTTGTTATTGTTTTTATTCAATCTGGGATCTAGTCAGAGAACTCCCATTATACTTGGTCCTCATGCTTCTTAATCCTTTTGAATCTGGCATAACTCTCTTACATTTATTTTTTTTCTTTTAAGACACTGACTTAAAAAAAATAGTCCATGTATTTTGTTCAGTGTCCCATGATCTAGATTTATCTTATTTGTCCCATAATTACTGCATTCAGGTAAACATTTTGACAAATATACTACATATATATACACATATATACACACAGACACACACTACAAATATATATAGGTGCTGTTGTGTGCTTCCTTTTGTATATCAGTTATCGTTATTGGTTGGTGTCACTGAGTCAGAAAAGACTCTGAGTTAACCCTCCAGCTGGTTTACAGAGGTTACAAACTGCCTGGGAGGAGACTGCCCATCTTTGTCTCTGGAAGCTGCTGGAGGATTTGAACTGCCTGCATTTGGGTCGGCAGCACAACTCTTTACCCACTGGGCCAGCAGAAGTCCCTATTACATGAGTAGACACATGGTATCTCTTTACCCATTACTGCTGCTAATAAGTTTGAACATTTCTTAAGGTTGGATAGTGGCTTTTAAAGACACAGCTGAAAAGCACGTGCTGACTATTTTATGAGCAAATATTTAATGTTCGTTTCTCTCAGAGAGCAGAGCAAGCTTGCAGTTCTGCCTAACCCTCATGCCAGTCCTGGGTGCATCCTCCAGCAGGTGAACCTCTGAGATTTACGCTTCTTCCCGGGATCAGGAAAGGCATATTGACCTCAGCGAGGAAGAGGCAGCAAAGGCATTGAGCTTGGCATGTCCTTAGAGAATGGAAGTCCCTTCTAAGTGTCCCCCATCCTGAGCTCTGGCTATACTAACTTGTCACTGGCTCTGCTGCTTCTGCCCTAAGATCAGGGCAGGTTAATTTATTTGCAAGTCTAAGTGGTGGGAAGTGATGTACCCTGGACTGCCAAGAAGACAAATAGATTCATCCTAGAGAGGGTTAAAAACCAGGCTACTCCTTGGAGGCAAGGATTCTGGGGCTTCGTCTGTCATACTTTGGACATGTTGTAAGGAGAGACAGGTCCTTGGAGAGGGACATCATGCTTGGGAAGGTGGAGGGACAGCGCAGGAGGGAAAGGCCCTTTATGAGGTGAATTGATTCAGTGATGGGGTAATCGGGATGGGTGTGTCAGAGGCAATGCGATTGGCACAGGATAGAGCAGGGTTTAGGGCTGTTGTACACAGGGTCGCTATGAGTTGCAAACGACTCGACAGCACATAACAACAACAACAACAACAAGTGGTGAGAAGCATAGGTCTAGCTGTTCCGTAGATCCCAAACCTTTCGTCTACAAGCCACCCACAGACCCTGGTGCGTTCCACTGCCACGGGAAGGATGCTGAGTGCAAAAAGGCTATGGACAGAGATGCACTGTCATCAGTGACCCCACAGTTCTGCTTGGTCTAAAGTCTTCTCATTTCAGTTGAAATCTGGGTAAAACAATGGAAATGTCACCAACTCCCCTTCTCCTTGGGCCAAATTTTACACTATTACAATGAAAACATTCAAGAATGATGTCGATTAGCCAGAGAGGAAGAAGAGGAAGTATGCCAAATTAAAAAATAAATAAATAAATTTTGCTTCTGCTCAATTAGTTCTGACTGGATTAGTTCTCGACTGGATTTCGGAGGCTACAGTCTTTACGGGAGGAGACTGTCCCTGTTTCTCCTATGGAGTGACTGGTGGATTTGAACTACTGACCTTGCTGTTTAGAAGTCCAACTTCTAACATATTAGATGCCGCTGGGCCTCCTTCAAATCTAATACATTCGAGACAACCTTTTCAAGTGATTGATGTGTGTTGTTTCATACACATTTTAATATACACACACACAAGTATGTTGGCGTGCATCAGGACATAAACACACATAGAGGCAGAGACATACTGCCTTCAGTGATAATATTTTTTGAAAAATCAAAATTTCTGGTAACTGAGTATACTTGACTATTAACAAAAGTCTGGCAGTTATTTGAATCAATGGCTATTTTGGGGCTCTGTCTACACAGCTGATGTCCTCAAGCTGCAGATACAACCAGGCTCTGGGGATTCTTTCCAATGCCCTAGAATGCATCATGAGCCTTTTAAAGTGCCCTGTGGAACCACTGGGATGAAATTTGAAGGGGAAAAAAATGTAAGTAATGCTTACACTGGAGATGTAGAAATTGCTTCTGAAATCACCCTGATGTATGTAAAATTGAATCTATTTTCGCGGCATTAGGGAAGTGACTGGCTTTGGCAGTGGCATCTTCAGGAAGCACTGAGATGGCGTGCAAAC